TTAGGTCTTTCATCAACTTGGATTTTAGACATGGTAGTAGAACAGCCAGTTTCCCAGCATCATTTTTCAGAAGGTTTTTCTTTCCTCTAGTGAATATTTTTGGCTCCTTTGTGACCATTAGATTTTACGCACATTCTTTTTATTTTAAAAATGATTATTCATTTATATCATTGTATTAGCAGCAGAAAGAAACTGTTCATTTTCTGTCTGTTGTGAACTCACGTTCACATCCCTCCAGGTTGTGTCTTTGTAAATCGGCCTTGTCAGGAAAAGATAACTGGATGAATATTTTGAGTTCCATAGATGCTGACTCAAATTTAGTCTCTGGCAGTGGAAAAAAATAACATTTTTTCACCTTAGAAAAAGAAATATTTAGCCTTCCAGTTTTATATTGTATCTATAAAACACAATAGGAACTCATTATTCTCTAGCTAGTCATATTTACCAGTGTATTAGCATTTGGTACTGTTTTCTATTCTGTTTTATACATATATTTTATAAACTTAGAATAAAACAGATATTTTGCTTTTACACTTAATATTTTTTACCACATTTTTAATCACAGGTATTTTGTAAAACATGATTTTTGTGACTTTTAAACTTTCCATTTTAAATGTGTCATGATTTTAAAATATTTTGCTCTTTTTCTTTTGGCTTATTTCTAAATTTTTCTTAATAACTGTGGAAATAGATTACAGTATAAATGACATTTTGAGCATTTTAAACAGTTTTGATATATTTCTAAAATGTCTTTTAAAAGTGTGCTAACAAAGTTGCAGTCCCAGCAAAAACTTGTCTTTCTAATTCCATGTACAGTTTGCTAAAAGCAGGACTCCTTAAATATATTTAACTTTTCTAGTTCATGGTATTATTCAAGTATAGCATTTAAAAATAATTTTAAAATATACCTTTCTTTGATTTTGAAATTTTTCTATTTATTTTTGACTATTTGTTATGTGTGAATTGTCTATACATATCTTGTGACTTTTCTCTTGGGATACAATCTTATTTTCATTGATTTAAAGCAGTTCTTTACATATTAGTTTTAAACAAAATTATTTTTATAAGTCAAAAACAAATGTCAGCAACTTTATATGGTTCAATTATAATTATTTATTTATTATATTCATTATCAATGCTTAGAATTTGTCTTTTGTTCTTCTTATTCTTGTTTTTATAGAATAATAACAAATTTAAGACTTTTATGTGGCTCCATTTAGAGCTCCTTTCCTACACCAAAAGTTTTTTTTTTTTTAATAAATATTTTGGGGTTTCCTTTGAAACACCATACTTTTATTTATTTTTTATTTTTTGGCAGTGAGGATCGAACTTGGATCCTTGCACTTGTGAGGCAGGTGGCAGAACCCTTGAGCTAAATCCCCAGTTCCAAAAGGTTTTTTGTTTTGTTTTGTTTTGTTTTTTTACACTAAAAGTTTTTCCCACACCAAAAGTTTTTCCCATCCCAAAGGAAGATAAATATTTTTGTAGTTTCAAATTGTAAAATTTAGCTTTTAGAATCCATCTGGAATTTTTGTTTTGTTTTTTTTTTTTTTTTTGGTACTGGGGATTGAACTCGGGTCCTTGCACTTACTTGCAAGGCAGGCCACTGAACTGCTGAGCTAAATCCCCGGCCCCCAATCTGGAATTTTCTTTGAATATATTGTTAAGGTGGGGATCTATTTACTGAATGATGAAACAATTACCTTCAAACTTCTGAGCTAAACTGTATTGTTTAATTTCGTCTCATTGCTACTGTCACAAAATACTAACATGTACTAAGAATATAATACTATCCTTGACCTTCATTCTTCAAAAAGTATATTATGCTGGTGCCTCCAGTTAGCTGATGGGCTTCAAGGGCCAGAAATAGTTCAGAGACCTTAGTTTCATCAGTGTTAATTCTGCTTTTCTGTTGGAAGCAACAGGTTACACAATGCTAGATTTACCTGGTAGCTCCTTTCAGTATAAAATTCTATCTTTCTGTCAACCCACAGGGACAATATTATTAAAGTTTTCATTAAGTAGAGATATTTTTTAAAAATCTTGATTGTTTTTCTCTTTTTCTCTTTGTACTTAAATTTTGCTTAACTTTAGGAGATACGGTATCTTTGTATCTATATATCTACATTTATAATGGTCATTTCTTCTACCTGTGATAATAATATTTATTTGGTAGTTTTACAAGCCTGAGTCAAAGTCTGTGTCCATCACAGATGTTTTAAACAAATTTCACTGATCTGAGTTTTTAAATCTTAGTATTCTTGCAAAATAAAAAATGTAATGTTAAATGAGTTCATTTACAGTCTAAATTTCTTTTTTTTTCAGCTTTAATTGAGTTTATTGGTACATTTTAGGGATACAGTACAGTTACATTCATTGTTGGGATCTTGTACCTCCACATGACCAGTCTTGGTTCTCGTTTTTTCCCCTTGTCCCTGCCCTCCCTTTACCCCCTCCTCCCTACAGTCTAAATTTCTGTTATTTGATCCACATTATATTCAGGGGCTCTGTGCCATTGATAAGAAAAAAGTAAATTGTTTAAGCTCTGTAATTACTTTAATTGTTGTGATATTTTGGTAACATTTGGTAAAGTCTTTCAGTGGGAGACCTTCGCTTCTCTCTTTCTTGTTTGGATGCCTTAAACACCAGTAGTGTTTTTATTCAGAGTCTGAAGCAATATATGTATCCCCTATTTTCTAAAGTGTTCCTGTTTGAACTCCAAAGCTTACATTTTTTTAAAAGATAAATCCCTTTTATTTCAACTGACAACTATTTACTGTCTAAAACAGTGGGATAAAACTTATTGGTAATAAAGTATCCAGTTGAAAGACTAAATAAATCTGAATGTGGAGAAATAATTGCATGGATGGTTTTGTGCCGGCTTTCCTAGCTTATGTGCTGCCCAAAGGGTGAGGATGAAATAGAAATGGCCATTTGAATTCAAAGGATGGGTGATTTCCACATTCTCTGAGATGCCAGCCAAAGACACTTACCCTGTAATGTTCTAAACATTCTAGATACATGTCCAAGCTGAGACTCTTCTTTTTCCTGTGTGTGTGTGTGTGTGTGTAGGATTGTCTTGGGCTACATATAAAGAACATATTATAGTTAATGTATATAATTCACAAAACTTCCTTTAACTACTCTTGAGTCCTTAGAGCTGGAGTTACAACTTCCTTGCCACTAGGTGGCTTCAGTTGCCTTTAAAGAAAGATTGGGGCCCAGAGGTTCTATGGGGGTTCTATTCACTCTTTAGGAAAAACCATTTCATTTTCTAAGGTAGATGACAGGACAATTCATGCAATTTAAAGATTTTGGGGGATATCTGACCTCACCTTCTCATTTTAGAGCTAGCATTAGGAGACTTCTCTAAGTTGACTCCTAGTCCTGTCCTCTACCTACTGCGTCAGTGACAGCCGTCTGCTTGCCTTCTGAGGCCGCATCACAGGTCTCCATATCCCTGACTGTACTGGGCCTGGAGGAGGTGCACGCAGGAAGGCTGTGTGTAAGGCAGGTTGTGAAGTGGACGCTGGTGGTCCTTACAGGAAGGATAAAGCAGTGGTTAACCCAGTTAAGCGTCTATATTAATGAGATAGCCAATTGCGATGATTCAGAATTGGGAGTTCAGGCTTTTTATTTATCCAGAAAAAGCCCAGACTCCTACATCTCTTATCTGTTGTCTGGATTCTCTCCTGTTCACTGCTTCTGATGAATAGCAGCATTTTTCATCTTCTTTCATCTCACATTTTTTTATTATATTTGATTAATAGTTAACCTTTAGAACAGAGTTGGAATCTTTTTAAATCAAAGGCTGCTATAGAAAATATAATCAAAACTGGACAAGTCCTTTATCAACTCAAAATGATTTATGGCAAGGTTGACTGTCTTTTGAAAACTAAGGAAGAAGCAAAGAGAGTATTCCTTTTTGTTACTTTCTATAGTAAGTTCAGAAAAATGTAGCAAGTTTTATTTTTAAAATGACCTATTAAAGTTATCCACAGTTCGGACTGGGGATTTAGCTCAGTGGCACTGTGCCTGCTTTTCAAGCACAAGGTCCTAAATTTGATCCCCGGTACCACACACGCACGCAAAAAGTTGTCCTCAATTCCTATATTATGAACAGAGTACAAAAACAGAGGTGAGGGAGCCTAAGAAAACAAGCAAGGATGGTGTGTTAGTCCATTTTGTGCTACTATAACAGAGCACCAGAGCCTGGGTAGTTTATAAAGCAAAGAATTATTTGGTGGAGGGTCTGGGGCTGAGGAACTCAAGATGGAGGGTCTGTGTGTGCCGAGGGCCTTCTTGCCGCGCTGTTCCACGGTGCACACAGGAAGGCAAGAGTGCCCTGAGAGTGAGCCCAGCCCCAGGGCTCTGGTAACCAGTGTCAGTCCGCTCACCGGGTGGTGCCTGGGCCAGCCGCTCCTCATGCCAGAGGTCCCAGCTCTCCACTCTGCTGCACTGGTGCTCGCTTCCCCGGGCATTGGGGGCCACCCTTCACGCAGCAAATGAGGAGGGCCAGAGATGACCAGGAGTGAAGAGCGTACAGAGACAGCTACGGGAGAGGTTGGGAAGGAGCAGGCCCTTGTTTTCCCTTACGGCCTCCCGTGGTGACTCCGCCCCGGGCTGTCCTGACCTCACTCCTGGTCTGCGCGAAGCTGGCGCCCAGCACCCTCTGGGAGAGGCGCCAGTGTGCGGGGCTTGCTGGTCCCCAGGCTGCACAGGCAGCGGGGTGAGGCCGGCAGTCCTGCGGGGCGGTGTGCAGCGCAGTCACAGCTCAAGCGGGGCGGTGAGGATTTTTCCCATCTGTAGCGGACCTTAGCACAGGGAACGTATACACGATGTTTAAATGTTGGAATGGTGTCTTTGCAGTCAGACTTTAAAAATAGATATGCAGCCGTTTTCTTACGCGTATGTTAAAGGTGGGTTCAGTACAAATGCAGTTAGGCAGGACTTCCTGCGCGGAGACCCTCTTCATGCCGCATCTTCTCTCCCTGCTGTAGCGACCTAAAGGGAGTGATAGTCACTCTCAGTGACCGTGGCCACTTGCAGTGCTCCTATCTGGGGACAGACCCCTCCCTGTTCCGGGCGCCGAAAGTTGAATCCAGAGAACTGAACTACGAAGAACTTGATGCAGAATTGGAAGAACTTCAGAAAATCATCAGAGATGTTAAAGCCCAAGGTACTGACTGCGTCTGCACATTTTTAGGACTCTTAATTTTAGTGTCCGTCGTGAAGCTCACATTGTCTGTACACAGATGTGTGGTGCACATTTTAGTTAATACCCCTCAGGCTTCGTTCAAATCCTATTGTAGAAACGGTGTCGTTCCTTAGTCTTTGTGCTGACTTTGTATATTGCGGCTTCTGAAAACGTGTTTGAAACATGCTTCTGTGTTTCAGAGATGCCCTATCTAGCTCTTCTCTTTAAACTCTAAGAGAAAAGGCACTTCTTTGGGTAGTAGTTCTAGGCTGTGAGAAGAGCATTAAACTTGAGAATGGTCATCTATTAACTTCTAATATCCCTGAAAACCTTTACCTGCTTCTTTTAAAAGAAGCCGAAGCAACGCACGAGTTACTCCCCTGATACTAAAAATGTAACATTTTGCCACTTAGTGAAGTAATGTATGTTTGGAGTTCATTAGCCCTGCAAATGGGGTTAAGCCTGTGAAATGTTGATTCTGATGACTCAGAGGCTGATGATATTTTCAGTTCCCGAATTTTGAATAACTCAGTATTATCTTACTTTGGGACTCACAAGGGTATAATTTTATTGTAAATTAAAAGGAGAAACACAACACCAGTCCCACAGTTTGAGTCGGACATATGAAAAGCATTACTTACAGTTCTCTTTCCAGGGTCAGGTAAAAGTAGTTTTTCAATGAGAAAAAGTACGGACTGCTTTCACCTAAAAGAAATGCTAACAATGTAAGTAGGAATAATAAGAGAAGCTGAGCATCAAAAGCCAACCAAAACAATAGAAGCAATCTTAATTCTGCCCCAGTCACTTTCCTAGATTTATGTATTTTTGAGTCTGTGGTACAAGATTATGTTCCTCTAGTTCTAAGGAATTGAGATGAAGTATTTAAAAAATATGAGTATTAACAATGGAGTTGTTATGCTTTGACTTCACACGTTCTTTTAGAAGTTTTCAAAGTAAACCAGTGGAACAGAGGCCTTTAAAATACCTTCCATTAAAACCTATTTGTCGTCAACACCTTCACGTCAGATGAAGAAAGGTTAGAATTGAATCTGTCATGCTGCAATGTACAATTTTTTTATTCATGTTACCATTATTTTGGTGATTAACAGAATCACAACCCCCATTTGATCATTTAAAAATGTAACAAAGAGTGCACCTATACGAAGCGTGAAGTCTGAAGGGTTTGTTAAGCAATGTGGCTTTCTCTCTAACATTTGTTTCTTGAAGTTTTGCTCTTTCCATAAACAATGAGCTAATGGTATTCTCTTTTCAGCTGTGGTGATTGCAGCCGGGGCCTCCTCCATGCTAGGAAAGTGCTGTACCCTGAACTCCATCACTAGCTCCTGCTGATGGTGCTTTGATTACCATTAACTCTGTGTGTGTGTGTGTGTGGGCGGTGTGGGTGTGTGACTTTTTCAGAAAAGCTCCTAAAGCCAAAGGTTTTTTTCTTGGCCACCACAGTGATGCCTTTGAGTGAGAAAGTTTAGGCTATTTTACTTTTCAGGATCTTGATCCTTTTGTGTATCTCAAAATAACTGCTAGTTATGCCCAGTATATACCCATAGGCTTGAGTGCAAAGTTCATTTATATTTAGTTAATGTTTGGTATTGTCACTTTCGTGCTACCATTATTTGATTTTATTCCTAAAACAAAGAGAAACTTTTTAGAGAGAAGCTTTTAAACTATTTTACTTCTAGATATGGAAAAAAAAACTTAGTATTTTGTACCCTTAGAAATGTATAGTATGTTGTTTATTAAAATACCTGTACTTATATATGAAAGTACCAAATTATTTTATTACAGATTATCAGAAGTTAAAACTCTGAATTTTTGATGACCTCACTCATTTAAATGTCATTTGTCTTAGTGCAGTGGTTTTAACTTGTAGGTTGTTATGTTTTGTACTTAATAAGCTTTTAAAAACCTTCCCAGAGGAGGAGTTGCAGCAAAATTTAGTCAGTTTTAAGAATCCATTTTCTTGTACTACATCGTATATATTGTCCACTATAATAAAAGTGTTTTTGAAGCTTATTTTATGTGTGTAAGTTATATGTGGAATGTATGTTGTACGCATGAAATTACAGTAATGATTTCTGCGTGTCTGGATTCTGAAGCTTTTTGTATTCAGCTCATTAACGTGAATCCTGCCTGGCATTTTTGTCACTGGTAGTCAACAGTATGAGGTGGTGAGGACTTTCTGAGATGGAGTTTCCTTGCAGTTTGAGCAGCTGACTGCATTCCTGGGTCGTGTGGGAAGCACTGGGTACACTGTTGAAGTCACTCACCACACACAGCTGTGTCTTCAGGAAGGGAGAGAGAACAGTCAGACACAGGCATGTAGGTGAGGATGCACCCCATGTGAAATCTGTCTGACAGCACGACAAACTGATGCTTCTCCCTAGTCCCGAAAACTTGGAATTTGGTGACCTTCACTTAAAGTTCTCTCTGGCCACATGCAGTGGAATACCTGATAAGGCAGCTCGAACAGCATAGAGGTTCATGTCTCTCCTATGTGCAAGAAGCCCATGGATGGTCAGTGCAGGGTTGGCTTGGCAAATCCACGGTCATCTGGGATTCCAGTTCCTGGATCCCAGGGCCATCTGTTGGTCCAGGATGGCCTTGGAACTTCTGCCTTCACATCTGCAGCTGAGTCAGCACCCGATGGAGCTTTCCTGGAAGCTACGCCCTGAGCAGCTCCTATTCAGTGGCCACTCCAAGCTGACAAGTAGGCTGGGAAATCAAGTATTTTGGCCAAGTACTTTGTGTTCAGAGTAAGACTGTGTTTCTTTTAGTAAATAATTGGAGAATGGTCATGGGCTGGGTAGCCTTTTGTATTCTGACTGGGCTTAGAAATTAAGTATTAGTGATCCGTTGTGGACAGTTTCTTTTTGTAAGGCGTCGGATTCATGTGGCATTATCCACTTCACCCATTCTCAGTGTGTGAGGATGTTTCCTCTTAGGTCCCAGTGTGCCCTTAGCAGGTCCAGGCTTTGTATACAGACTGATTTTCAGGAAGAAGAGACCTGTTTCTCCCAAGTCTTCCTCTAGGTGGGGAGGAAACACTTTCCCAGAAGCATGCACCAGCAGGCTCCATCCCAGGTTCCCTTACCTCTTCTTTACCGAGACTAACACCTATGTGTATGCCCAAACACACTGATGTCTTTGGAAGACAATGACCACGATTGGATTTGACCCTGGAGGCTGGGAGAGGTGGTTTTCTCTGAGGTGGAGTTGCGTGTTGCAACAAAATTAGGGTTCTGGCACAAAGAGGGAGGAAGCAAGAGTGGATGTTGGGTAGGCAGCCAGTTTTCTGACGTTGTGTGTACATGTGGGTGTGCATATGTGGACTGACGGCTTGATCCATAAGGCAGCGGTGCTCCGAGGGGTGATCGGACCTGAGGGCTTTAAGGTCATCGGTGGATGAATCCACTCTTATGATGAGACAGGATGCGATGGGAACAGGAGCTGGACCCTCACTGGAGAAAGTGGGTGAGGGAGTGTAACTTTGGGGACAACATCTGCTCCCTAGCTCCTTTCTGCCTGACTCTCTCACCATTTCTGTGCTTCCTGGCTGCCATGAGGTGAGCAGCTGTCCTCCAATGTACTCTTCTGCCATTTCTGCCATGGAGCCAACATGGACTGAACTCTCTGAAACTGAGCTAAAATAAAACTTTCCTCCTGTTTACATCAGATATCACAGCAATGAACACCTAACACACTTAAATATCTCATTATGCAGGGGCTGTGGATTTAGCTCAGTGGTACTGCACCTGCCTTGAAAGCACAAGGCCCCGAGTTCGATCCCCAGTACTGAGAAAAAAAAATTCTAATTATGCAACAAAAGTATATTTAAAATTATGAAAATAGCATGCGTGGGTTAATCTGTTTTCTATCGCTATAACCAAATGCCTGGATCTGGATAATTTATTTTAAAAAGAGGGTTACTTTGCTCACAGTTCTGGAGGATGAAGGACATGGCAATAGCATCAGCTTGCTTCTGGTGAGGACGTCAGGGCAGATGGCATCACAGTGACTGGGGTGTGTGTGGGAAGGAGAGGTCACAGGAGAGACAGGAGTGTGGGAGGGGCAGTCCTGCCCTTTTAATAACAGCCCCCTTGCACAGGCTCACCAGGGTCCCACAAGAGCTCTATTGTCCTTCTCAGGACAGTGCCTTTAGTGACTTGTGGTCTTCCCACCCGGCCCAAGCTCTTGAACTCCCCCTGGCCTTACTGTCCCCACAGTGGGACAGATACAGGCTGTATCCAGACCTAGCAGTGTATGTGGTGGAACTGATTTAGACTCACAGCTTGGTTGATGAAAAGAAGGCTCTCATTCCATCTCAAACACTAGGTCCACTCCTTTTCGGACTTTCTATACATGCATATATGGCTACATCACAGTGCGACCCATTAATTTATACAATTAATGTGAGTAAATTTTTTTAATAAAAAGAGCTGTGTATTCTAGAAAACATTCAAATTTAAGTATTTGGTTTTTCACAAATGTATAGTTTTACTTTACCATTTCTCAATAGATATATAGATATGGTTTTAATTTTAAAAATAATAATAATAGATAACCTCCTTGAGCATGTCTGTAAGTGTTGGATAAATTTTTGGAAGCAGAATTGTTAAATCACAGGACAAGTATGTTTTACATCTTCACAGTTATAGCCAATTTACCTTCCAAAGAGTTGTACTGATTTGGGCTTTCACTGATAGTAAAGGAGAAGGTGTTAAAATTACCAATGCTGGTCAATCGGTGGCTCAAATCCTAACTAAAGTGTCTGGAAAAAGAGAATTTTTCTTTACACTGTTGTAGAGAGAAATAGCATTACGATTTTAATTCTGTAATACATTATTTCTTTTTTGAGTTAGGGTATTGCTATGTATTCCAGGCCTTGAACTAACTATGGAGTTGACCTTGAACTCATGGCAGTCCTCCTGCCTCAGCCTTCTGAGTGCTGGGATTACAGACATGCATCACAATGCCTGGTTGTAATACAAGTTTTTTCAACTTGTGTTTCTGAGATTTTTGGTTGATTATATGATAATAAAGTAAACATTTAAATAAAAACGAATGTAAACATCAGGTTTTACTTTGATTAAACATATGCACATATATGTTTTTTAAATTGCAGGTGTTTGGCCAATGACTGAGAGAGAAGATGACTTGAAAGTTTCTGCCGCAGTTTCTCCAAACTTTGATTCAGTGTCTGTAGGTGTATTTACATATTTGGAATTGGTATAAAAATGTATTAGCTTAAATTCTGGGCCTCCCAAAAGAAACTTCAAAAAAGGTAACAAATTTGAGGCTTTGTGTCTTTCTGGATTAAACATAGTTTCTTCCTCTGGGTTCTAGTACAAGCTTTTTAGGCAGTATTTCTGCTTAAAAAAGAGGTGAGGGGAGCAATAGAAAAGCTTCTTGTCCTTGTTCTGAGTCTACCTGTTTTTAAAAAAACCTTCTCAGCACCATAGCATAGAGATAATCCTAATCCAGATAAATGCACTGCCTCACAAGATTGTGGATGAAGTTCAATGAAATCATGTTTTCAAATGACCCAGAGCAGGGCCTGATGATGAGTGATTTTAATACATTATAGTTACAGTGGTAGGGCAGTTGAACAGTATAGTAGTTGCTCCAGGAATTTTTCCCTTTGCTTCTGTCTGTGTGACCCAAAACAATGTTCTCATCTGCAAAATGGGAGTAAGAATAAAATATATTTTGTTGAATTGTTATGACAATTATCATCATTAAATTACTTTTTCATCCTCTGATGTCATCATCATTTCTAGCTCCTGTACGCCACTGCTTCTCTTGTTCACATCTGTCTCTCTAGTGCTTACCACAGAATGGCTGCTACGTACACTTTACTGTATGAATGAATAAAACAGAGACAGGAAGGGCGAGGGGAGACTGTTCTTGGTGTAACTCCATCTCCCTTTTCAGCCTTTGTAAGTACTTGTTGGGCTGTGACTGGTCATGTCTCATTGCCTGAGGTTTGAGCGAAATTTATTACCTTTATCTTTGTGTGCTGAAAGTTGAGGTTAAGGAAGTGATTGAAGTTGCTCATTTTACCACATTTGGAATTCATATCATATAAATCTGCCTGGGAAATGGCTTTGATTTTTTTTTAAGAGTAGTAGCAAAAATTTATTGAGAGAAAGATAGCTTCTGTCTAAGAGAGACAGAAGGGGGCCCATCTTTGATAGTTGTGTATGAGAGCATAATGTAAGTAGTCACGAGTCTCCAAAGATTAACCCTAGGATAAACAGCTCTTCCTCATCGTGAAGATGATCATGCTCCCCTTGCTTTGGTCTGGTAAGGCTGGTACACTTGGAAACAGTCGGCCTCCGTGTGAGAGATCACGCAGTGGGTCGCGTATGGCAGCCCTGCTCTGGCCTCCTCCTTAGCACTCACCAGTTCTCCTGTGTGGAGTAGTCTGAGGGCGCATCTCTGCTTAGCCAGCTGACAGACACACGCATTTTTCTTGCTATGGAAATGACTCTTCCCCCCATTGGGCAGCTTATATAACTTTGCTCAGTTCTTTTAAACAAAGGCTGTTTGAGAAGCAATTCCTTTTCTTTTTGAGGGAAGAACTCTTTCTCTTTGTAGGAAAAGGCCTTATGTGGAAGTGCTCTGTAGTAATGTATACTTTCTTGCTGGTTAATCTGGTGTGCTCTTTTGTGTTTACTAGGTGCTTCCTTCCAGCTTCATTTTCTGGGTGTTGCTATTTTTTCGTTACGAGATTTCCGAAGAGTAACATATCTATCCCACTGGAAAACATGACCACAACTTGCTGTGGTGCCATGATGTCTTCTTATGGCCCTCCCTCCCTCCCTCCCTCTTTCCTTTCCTTTCCTCTCATTTTCCTTTTACCTTTCCTTCCCCTTCCCTTTCCCTTTCCACCAAGGATTGAACTCGGGTCCTTGCTCTTGAGAGCCAGGTGGCAGAACCACTGAGCTAAATCCCCAGCCCTCTTATGGCCATTTCTCTCTGGCTACCATTTATGTTCCCAAAGGGTTACTGTCTTTGAAGATCCAGGTGTTTGAGGTAGACTGAAAGAGCAAGAAACGGGAGATACCAATTTCTCTTCTAGAAATGTGGGCGGTTTCATGAGAAACAGTTCCTGAGTTTTAGATGACACGGTAATGGAGCAGAATTATGTTCCCAGGGTTACTGTCTTTGAAGATCCAGGTGTTTGAGGTAGACTGAAAGAGCAAGAAACGGGAGATACCAATTTCTCTTCTAGAAATGTGGGCGGTTTCATGAGAAACAGTTCCTGAGTTTTAGATGACACGGGGTTGGAGCAGAAAGCCTGGGTTAATATTTTATTTTGAATCACTGTTATGAAAGCACAACAGAAATATGATTTATATGAGAATTGCATCTTCTGTGGAGGAGACAAGCATTGCTCTCCCATCTTCCTGACTGAGCAGCTTCATCAGAGTTCAGTCAGATGTGATTTGCTGTGGAGCCATAGACAGAATCTGAATCTCCCAAGTCTCAAGTCTGCTGGTGCCCATTACATCACAGTGAGCCCATTACTTAGAAGCGGCTTAGGTTTTCTTAGTCAAATTCCAAATAGCGCATTGGATCTGATGCATTGGTTGGACACAGGCATTATAATTGGATTATTTATTAGAATTTATATGGGTGTTATTGGAAAATGTATTAGGCTATAATAGAGTGACTCTTTTTTTCCTGTCAATATATGACTCATTAAACCAAGTTATCAGGAATATTTGCCTATGGTACTGTGAGTTCAATGAGAAGTAGCGCCCCCTACCCCAAGCTGATGGTCAGAGAGGCCATGTTGAGTTAGTTTGTGATGTGCACTGATAGAAAAAGTGCACTTCCTTTCTCATTTTCTAGGTGTAAGACCACTCAGTCTCTACATCATGAATTACATGTCTTAGGTTCTTCTAATTAATCTGAATAGAACAGTGCTTTTGCGAGTTGAAATATAGAAGCACCTAAACCATAATGTTTATCCAGAAAATGCATAATGGCATGTTTATCCAGAAAATGCAAGGAGATGGTTTCTCCCCCATAACATAAAAAACAAATTAATAGAATTAACACTTTTGACATTTAAGTAAATTAGGAATTACAGTGGATTGATAAGTATGTGACCTTTTCTTTCCTTTTGAGTTCTGGGTTTTGAAGATTAGCTTACGATGTTCCACAGAAAGGCATCCAGAAAGCCACCGTGACTCATTTTCGTGACTTATAAAGTATCTTCATTTTAGTTTAATTGCTGTGATGGTTAATGCACACTTGTTGTACACAGTAGAGGGCTTCACTGTGATGTTCCCGTACATAGCACACACCGACTCTTAGGCTGCCATTGTAAATCCTTTCTAGTTAGTGCCCTGTTTGATGGTGGGAAATGTTTATTGTGCCACTGTGTTGACTTCTTGGTGGGTAATACTGAAATTATTCTGTCCTACCTTCTCTTCTCAATTTTGTGTTTACAGCAAGCCACAGATGCTGACATAGGAACTGACCTCGTCCCTTCCATCACAGTGAAGGTATCGTACTAGGTTTACATTGTAATGTGCAAATCTTTTTACAGATTTCATCACATCTGTTATTGTTGCTCCCCTGGCAGTAGCTTTTGGAAAAGTAAAATAAATACTTGGAGTTTTAGATTTTCTTCAGCCTTGGGTAGTGAATAGAACACCTTCATTGTTTACTGCAAATATCAAACTTACAGTTGCATATATAGTAATATGCATGTAATAGAAACAATTCTTATGACTGTGTCCTACCTTTATTGAAAGGTATAGCATGATCCAGACTTTTTTCTGGAAATAAAATTAAGATCTTAAATCTTATCAGGAAGCCATGCCATCTTCATTCATAACAGACTCACCAATTGATGGTGGGTGTCATGTGAGGCAGACTTTGAACGATACTGGGAGGTACATAAGTGCTGGTGATATCACTCTTCCACGCACGGTTCTGTGTGTGTTTGGATAGAATTCCCAGCCATTTATCTGCCATAACATTAGCTGTAAATGGATACAAGAAAATATTCAATGAAGAAGCCACAAAGTACAGTAGTGACAAATTGATAGTTCTGAAAAAGTAGAATTTGATGGATGTGGTTTTGGTTAAGACATTTAAGCCTGTTGTAGAACTTTAGAACTAGAATTCGGCATTTAAAGTGTGGTGATAAGTCAGCATGGTATTCAGCTGAAAATATTTATCACTTCCCAGATCTTGGAAGTGAGGAAAAGTTGTGGATTTTGGCGATTCACTTAGCCAAAACATAGACAAGGATATCTATTTTCTTAGAATATGGCCTGCAGCCTTTAGAGGAGCTCAACAGAACACCAGGCTTCAGCAACTGTGTTTATGTTCACTGGACCCAGCAGGTGTCCTGAGTGTGGAGAGCTTTGGTCAGAGTTGAAGGGGACCAATCTTGTTACAGTTTCCTAAGTGATTTTTTTTTTCTTTTAAATTCTTGCTACTGGAAACAAGGGTGGTCTTTCCTGAGTTTCCCTTCCCCCTGTCCAATCAAAGGCTCTATCTCATTAATGCTACTGTGTCTTGAAAAGTATTAGTGGCAAGAAATCAAACAGGCTTCCTGATCCTATCTTTACAGTTTCGAAACAAATTTCTGCTCGAAATCTCTCTCCTATGGCCTTTATAACAGCAGCAGCCAAGATATAAAATCATGGAAGTTTCCATCATAATAAATCCTGTTGATTGAGAAAAATTTTCCATCAGTTCCAAATGAATGAAGATGTGGCTACCTTGAGTATGTGTGCATGATGCATGACCATTGACCATTGATTCCAGATGGCAAGGTAGAGTGGCTGCTCGTACCTGGTCTTTGGAGTCATATTTATATCTCTAGGATAAAAGTTGGCATTATATTTCCTAATGGTTATTTTTTATTTTTATAATTTTATAGTTTCTTCTTAACAGTCTACAGTTATTTTCCTCTTAAAATGTGAGGTTTATGATCTAGCCAAGTTTTTAACTACTTTTCTTGGCTCAAGCGCAACTGTCCTTTGTTACTGTAGTTGTTTTTGTCACATCTCTTTGTGCTCTGAAAGTGCCCAGCACGTTGTTGGGGCTCAGTGAGTCTGTGTATGTGAGCTATCATAATTAGGCATCTAAACCAAATGCAAACACTCTTAACATGGAATTGTGAGGTCGTAAGGTAAATTCATGTTCGAATTTTTAAGAAATGAACTTTTCTTCAGTGGTGGTACAGTTTTTAAGAGATTGCCAAACTTTTCATCAGCACTTTTGTTCAGTGGCTGTATGGTCTCACATTCCCACTAACAGTGCAGGAGGGCTCCAGCTCCTATAGCTCTTGGCTAACGTCTGTTGCCCTCCCTTTTGATTAGAATTGTTTTAGTGCATGTGTGGTAGTACAGCATTGTGGCTCTGGTTTGTTTTTCATTAATGACTAAAGGCAGTGGTCATCATTGCACTCTATGTTGGTCCTCTTTCTGTCTGCTTTGTGAAAAAATCTGTTCATCTCCTTTGCCTACTTTCTAACTTGTAGAATATGTTAACGTCCTGTTGAACTGTATTCTGTTTTGTGGCTCATCATTTTATCTTAATGAACTGTTTGCTAGTGACTTTTAAGTAATTACAGTAGTCTTTAAATTTCAATAAATATAATTTTCTATTAATAACACTTTGTGTTCCCACAGGTTACACTGCAAAACCGAGTGGCACTGCAGAAAGCCAGATTGTCAGTCTATGTGCCGCCACCACTAGTGTTGACTTGCGATCACTTCACCTTTGACTTCATGGGTAAGCTTTTTGTTTTGGCCTTAAGCTTACAATGGGGTAAAGGTTTTAAAAAATTATATTAGAGTGTTTATTGCATGGCTACTTTTCTTCTGTAAATACTGAAAATGAGATCTTCCTGAAATCAATGATTGTGCTGCTTTGCTTGTGTTTTCCGTGCAGGTAACAAGCACGGACATTCAATTAATTAATTTTTTTAGGACTGTATATTTCTAAGTGGTTTTAAGAACTAGTTGGGCCTATTATTATATTTAAATATTATAATTTGGAAGGCTTTATTGTTGTTTCTTTTGAATCAGTAACATTTAAAGAAAGAATATTATTTTTATAGTTGGCCTGAGTTTGAATACTAATGCTGTCACTAATTTGATGCATAATTTTGGGCAAACTATTTTAGTAGTCACTTGTAGTAACAGTTATGTTAATTGGGAAAAAGGGTAATATTATCTCTACGGCAGGTTTATTTTGAAGATTTAATTAGACAATTATTAGCTTCCCTGACAGTGCCTAAAATAGTAGATGTATTATAAATGGCAACACTTAGTAAGGCTTGTTTGTGTAGAATCTCTCACCTCCAACCACTTCCATCTACGTTGTCACTAGTGCTGTTAATATCAAATTATCCTTCACATCTGTGTGTGTGTGTGTGTGTGTGTGTGTGTGTGTGTGTGTGTGTGTGACAGCTCTTCAGCTAAGGCTTCTGTCTCCCATTCATGAAGTCAAGAACACATCTCCCTCTCTCACCTCTGTGCAACCAACCCTTAGCTAAATGTCAGGCAGCTAGAAAGGCCTCAGTCCATACTCGCTTCTCACTGGATGACCAATGCACAAATGGTTGGCCCAAGTGGACTTTTCAGGGATGCAGTCATTTGAGTCTCAATTTATTTCCCGAGTTCTTTACAGGATTCCATTTTATCTTTCTGAAACACATTCCGAATGGTGATTTTTCCTGTTAAAAGTGGCATTGGCTTTCCGGCACAGGTTGGAGGCCACGCCTGTTACTGTAGAAGGCGTGCACAGTGTGCCTAGTTGCTGTTGTTGCCTCCACCTCAGTTCCCGTCTTCTGCTTGGCCCAGCAGACACGCTGTGGCCGTGACAGGGTGCTGTGCTGCCCCGTGTTCTCTTTCCTTCTGCGTGACACTCTGTCTGCCCGCACATCTCAGTCGGGGAGCTGTGGTGCAGAACGCTGAGGGCCTTGTTCTGGAGTCGGTTCGCAGCTCTCATGTCTGCTCGTGAGCTGGGCAGTCGTCTTCTCTCCGCGCTGTGGTTTTCTCAGGCGTGAGAAGGTGGAGCAGGAGTGACTGTCCCCTCAGAGGGTTGCTGTGAAGATTCCGTGAGTCACTCCACTTCACGTGCTCATGGCAGTTCCTGGCATGTAGAGCGAACTTTAGAGATGTTAGCTGTTGTCAATAAATGCTTTTCCCAGCTATGTGATTTGTATCGCTTTTGCTTTGCTCACAGCACCGGAGATGACGAGCACGGTAACCTTTTCCGTTTATCTGAAGAGCAGTTATATGCCATCCGAATTGGAAGGAAACGCTGTTGTTTCCTATTCCAGACCAACAGGTAAACACAAAATTGTTAACAAATCTACAAGCCTATTCATTCCTTTAAATTATCAGAGTTATGAGTTAAATGATGATGTGTTTAAGGTGGGAAAACATAGTATAAATGTAATTAAATTGAAACATTCTTTTCTACTATTAAAAATTATACCTTCCGATTGCTTTTGTGTGTTATTAGTATTGATGCATCTCTTTAGCTGATTTTCTGGTATATTTGATTTTCTCTTTTCAATAAGTAAAAAACCTGATATATTCTTATTTCCATTAGAAAATTCCTAGATTGGACTTCATTTATTCAAACTAAGGAAAAGGCTAGTCTTTGTAGTAACAGCAACCAAAAAGAATATTTTAGATTACTTTAACATTAAGACAGTATTCAAGAGTATTCAGGGTTTTAGACACTTTTAATGACTGAATAAAACTCCTTAGTATCTTAAATGTTAAGATATTTAAGAGTGAATCATTAAAATTTGTTTTGTATTTTTTGAAGACACTCTTTTAGATTTAAAAAGGTGTCTCTAGTCCAGAAAATTGTAAATTTCAACTTAGTTGAGTCCAGTTTGATAGCTTTATTTTTTTCTTTCCTGTGAATTTGTCCTAGTAGTAGTTTGACATCAGTGGATTTATCAGTAGAAAATAAGAATTGTAATCACCTCTTTAAGTTTTAAAATTTAAATTAAAAAAATTTAAGCATAGAGTAGGTGGTAAGGTATTCCAAAAATACTGTATTTATGTTTTGAAACACTTCTGTGAAGTTTTCTTAGATTAAAAAGTTTAAAAAATGGCTTAGTCATCCTTTTTCTCCATCTATGCCCATTTGCATATGTGGTAACTTTTTCATAATTTGACTCTTTTTCTTGATCTAAATGCATTTTCTTATTCACTGAAAATTCTGTGTGCTCTTATAACTTAGGTATGTGTTTAGAAATCTCTCTGCTGTGTAAGTTACTTTGCTTTGAATTGTATTAAAATGTATTTTTAGCTAGAAATGAGAATTTTAGCCATTTATCATATTTTAAAATCTGGGGTTAAACACATATTTTTATGTTAAATAGTTTTCTTTTCTTTCTTTTTTTTTGTTTTTTGCTGATTTGTTTGTTTGTTTGTTTTGAGACAGGCTCTCACTATGTAGTTGAGACCAACCTGGAACTCACTGTGTAGCCCAGGCTGGTCTCCAACTCACAGCAATCCTCCTATCTCAGCCTCCTGAGTGCTGGGATTAAAGACATGTGCCACCACACCTAGTTTAAATAGCTTTCTTAAAACTGGTTTCATAAAGAAATAAAAACTTCATAAAGTATTAAGGAATGGTGAAGATTTTATTTGGGTATTTGTGAAAGGAACATTAAGGTTTTCAATCTTATTTTTGTTTTGAGTTGTGAAATAAAGAGATAGAAATGTTTGGCTAACATCTGTAGATCGTATATCATTAATTGACCATAGAATTATTATACTTGGTACACTGTTGAATATATAGTTGCAGAGACTGCTGGCATCTTATGTAATTCGGTGATTTTTCAAGAAAAGCCAGTGACACAGGGTTAAAAATAAATTTAAAATAGAGAAATGGTTAACTGTGCATAGACAAAATGCTTAAAATACATAAGAAATGTAAAATTAGTCTGTGAGCTTGTGGTTACACATGCCATAGCGTTTCTGCTTTTATATGGATAGATTTAAAAGATTATAAATTATCTTTTATTAATTGGTTGAAAGTGTTCTATAAACAAATGTTAAAAATGTATGTAAAAATAAAAGAATGTCGAGGCAATCTGAAAAAACCCAAACAATACTCTACAGTAGTACTTACTAAGATTATTTTAAGCAGGAGTAACTCGGGGTACTATGTATTGGGTCACTTTCTCTTGGGTTTATTTTGTACTGGGTGTGTTTCGGTGTCTGGCTGGGTCACGCATCTTTACCTCTGTTGCCCTGTTTGCATGAGGCTGATACTCACCGGCTTCTAGGAGCATAAGTGTAAGTCTACTGCGGCATCCACTTGTGCACATGGGACTTCCTGTTGAGGAGGTTTTCCCTGTGTTTACTGGGGAGCAGTTTCACCGCTGTAGCAATTTGTGTTAGAATTTGTGTTAAATTTGTTTGTGATTTTTATTGTGGATAACTTGTTATATTTTTTTCTCCCTCACTCATTTTTGCATTGCCTCTGATGAACAGATCGAAATCCTGATGGTAAGTGAAAAGAAAATGGTTTTCTGAACTGAAATTTTATTATTATATCATGAAGGACTGCTTCATATAAACTGCTATTATATTTTAAATATACAAGCTTCTTTAGGATGATTGAATGCCCTGATCCTCCTGTGAAAAGCGTGCTAGATATTTCCACAGGGAATTATTTTTAGTTGTTTCAGAGTCACAAGAAATAATAAAATTAGAAATAAGAACAGAAAGTTTTGAAAAACATCAAAGTTGTCATTGACAACTTACTGCTGAAAGTCATTGGTTATTACCTGGATGCTCTGTTACTTCACTGAAAATAAAGAATAATGAACAAAACGTGTTTGTACTAAATTCTAAATTGTCGTCCTATTGCCCCTGAGTTGGAGGAAAGTCCCGCACTTGATGGGTAGGAAGAGGAGGGGACCTCAGGAAGCAGTGAGGTGTGGTTACATGGTAAACAGAACATTCAGTGGTGATGATTTTGAGGAGGCTTTTCCAGGAGGGAAAGCAGATAAGAAACTCAAACAGTCAGGTTAGACATTTGTAGCCTGTGTGAAAATTGTCATGAAAGGATGAAAGAATGCCATGGGCCTATGAAGCAGGAAGGGGGAACTTTCCCTGACTCAAAAACCATCCTTCTTTGGTGGGAAGATCCTGATACTGTTGGCGTTCAGACAAGGAACAGGTTGGGGTGAAGCTGGAAAAGGCAAAATATTGACCCTTGGGGGTGTAAAGGGGGAGTTCAGCTGCCTCCTTTATGGTTTTGTCTGCAAAGGCATTTCCAGCAGCCATGGGATCTGAAAGTTTCTGGTGTCCCTAGCAATGAAGCACAGCTATCCAGGTTGCCAGAAGGGCAATCTGAAGAAAGACTTTAATAAGTGGAGCCTTAACGATTGATGTGGAATGAATACTTAGAGTCTGTATAGATGCTAACTTGCAAGCCTTTAGCTAGTATGAGAGTGTGGATCAGAGCAATTAATTCAGCCTGTTGAGAGGTTGGTAGTGGAGCTTCTATGGTAGAATCACGGGAGACAATAACGTTCCCTGCCCTGGCAGAGGAGTTGGATATGGGCTTATATGAAGTCCCATGGATGAACTAAGTGTGGTTAGGTTCGGGAAGGGGAAAGATGGAAGTGTGAGGGAAAGGGGAGGTTACTAGGTGTATGAGACATGCATCTGGGTGGGTTAGGCTTTTTAGAAAGCATGTTGATAAGGTTAGAATCTGGGTTGAAATTGGCACCTAATGTAATGATAGTCATGAGAGTTTCCAAGAAAATTGCATAAAGCTGAAGTAGGAGAGGGGCAGGGAGAAATTGTGAGAATTAGAATGAAGACTTGAGTCCCTGAAGGTTGTAGAAAGAGTAAAGGGTGAGTAGAGCATGTCTAGTGACTATGAGGGTTTCTTGGAATAACAGGGCTTCTGCTACAGCTGCCCATAGGCATGGCAGCCAACTTGTGATGATGGGTCAGTCAAGCTGTTTGGACAGGAATGCTATTATTGGACATGGGCTGGGACCCTATGTTAGAATTCTTCCTGCATATTTCCCACATTCTGCTACACGGAGGCTGAAAGGATAGGTGAAGTTTGGAAGGGCCAGGAAGTGGGCTATCTCTGGGGCCTTTTCTAAGGATTGAACAGATAAGTGAGGAAAGGTTTTGTGACCTAAAGGCTCAGCAAGGTCTCCCTTTGTTAGTACGTAGAGAGGTTTAGTGAGGAGAGCAAAAACTGGGACTACAGAGGCAGACATATTCTATTATGCCAAGCAAGAAAAGAAGCTATTGTTCAGTGGTGGGAGTTGGGATCTGGGCAACCAAATGAACGCCATCTGGATGCAGAGCTCGAGTGTTTGTGGAGAATGATACCGAGATAGGTAACAGATGGGAAAGAAATTTGGGCCTTAAGAGTGGGAAACACGATTATCTTTTGGAGTCTAGATGTTGTAATAATAAGAGTGTATCTTCACGGGATGCCTTGTAGGAGGTACTACAGAGAAAGAGGCCATCTACATACTGTTTGAAATGAGAAGACAAAGGATGGTAGGAGAGTAAATAATGCACAAGGGCCTGACCAAAATAGTGGGGACTGTCTCAGAAACCCTGTGACAAGATGGTCTAGGTTAGCTATTGGGACTGAGGAGTGTCAGGGTCTGTCCAGATGAAGGTAAAGAGAGGCTGTGACGAAGAGTACAGAGGGATAGTAAAAAAGTATCTAAGTGTAATGAGAGGGGAGATGGAGAGATAAGAGGATATGAGTGTGTAGGAGTTAGGCACAATGGGGTGTACGGAAAGGACAATCTGACTGATAGCATGCAGATTGTACCAGCTATATAAGAACGGTCTGCCTTTTGTTTCCAGAGAATGGGGGCATTGTAGGAGAAGTTGATAGGGATTAGGAGTCTGTGCTACAATAGGTGAGAGGTAATAAGTTGTAATCCCTGTAAGGCAAGGTCAGGAATGGAATACTGTCACCGGACAAAGTAGGGGTGGTTAGGGATGGTGACTAGCTATTGGGATGAATCTAGGGATGGGCTAGAAGTATCTCAGACCATGGAGTTGAGGTGGGGGAGATAATGGGAGCCTGGCAAGAGTAGGCAGCTATGAGTGCTAGGTGTGCCCTGGGGATGGTCAGAGTGGCTGACAGGTTAACTGAGATGTCTTGTCCTAAAAGGGGGAAAGGATAGGTGAGGATGACTAAAAATGAGTGTAGGAAAAGGTGCTGGCCCAATTGACACCAAATTGGAGGAATTTTGAAAGTCTGGAGACTTTGCTGTCGATACCCACAATAGTAGTTGGAACTGGAAAAACTGGTCCTTGGACAAAAGGAAAAGTGGAATGGCTGTCACCCGTATCGACCAGGAATGGGATGCATTTACCTTCCACTAGAAGAGTCACCCAGAGTTTGGCCTCTGTGGCCTCCAGATGGCATCAGTCCTCAGTGGCCAGGCCAAGGTCTGGGAAAAAGCTGCTTGGTGGCCTCTGAGGTTGTGACCCAGAAGCAGCTACCAGTTCTGGGCAGTCTGACTTCCATGGTGGACTGCCACAGGAAGCACATGGCTTGAGAGGGATCCCAAGACATTCCCCAGCCCAGTGACTATTCTGATGGCATTTGAAGGACAGTCTGGGAGGCATACCTCAAGTTGAAGTCACCTTTGATTCCTTTGTGTTCAATTCAGTTACTGACTTTGGGGGGTTTCATATGGCAGAGTTTGGCATCTGCAGCTCAGAAATGTGCTATTTTCAGGCACTTTCATCTTTTTTAGTGGAGACCTTGAAGGCCAAATTGATTAGGTTTTGCTGTGGCATTTGAGAACCATTCTCCAGCTTTTATAGTTTTTTATGAATGTCTGGGGCAGACTGAGTAATGAAGTGTGTCCTTCTTAAAGATAATTTTTCCCTCTGGTTTTTCTGGGTCTAATGTTGTATATTGCCTAAGGGCAGGGACCACATGGGCCATAAACTGGGCTGGATTTTCACTTCTGGCCTGAGTGGTCTCTTTGAGTTTGTTAAAATTGACTGCCTTATGGGCTGCCCTGTGAAGCTGTTCTACTAGGTAGTCAATCATGTGATCTCTGTTGTCTGTGTTCCTTGATCCTGCCTTATAGTTCCAGTTTGGGTCCTACTGGGGGACAGCTGCAGTGCCCATCAGAAGGGTGTAGGAGTGATGGGGAACTGTTAGGAAAGATCAAGGTCATTTGGATCTGTTGTCCAAGAGGAGTCTGTCATTTTGGACCAAAGGGGAAGCAGGTGATGGCAGGGAAAGAAGGATCTAGGAAGAATGACAGGAAGAACATAGTGTAAGAAGATTTTGCAGTGTAAAGAATACCTGAACATAGGGTACCTCAGACCATTTTCAGCAATAATTATCTAAGTCCTACAAAATGCAAAAATTAAAGGTGCTGTTTTCTGGACATTGAGAGCCATTTTCAAGTTTATGTTGTGGTCAGGTAGTATTTAAAAAAGAAGGATCTAGGAAGAATGACAGGAAGAACATAGTGTAAGAAGATTTTGCAGTGTAAAGAATACCTGAACATAGGGTACCTCAGACCATTTTCAGCAATAATTATCTAAGTCCTACAAAATGCAAAAATTAAAGGTGCTGTTTTCTGGACATTGAGAGCCATTTTCAAGTTTATGTTGTGGTCAGGTAGTATTTAAAAAAAAAAGGAGAAGAAGTAGGAATAGAGAGAGGGAGATTCACCATGGAGAGCAGAGAGAGATAATTAGTAGCCACAAGGTCAGTAGTGGGTATCCCCAACTGTAATGGGATGTGGATGAGTGGTCAAAGAGGATATCTATGGTTGGCCAACCACCAACAAAGGAATTTCCTTCTTGGAAGTATTCCATGACCAGTGCTGGATTTAAGGAACACGGAAAGTAGTAATGAGTCCTTCTCTGTCTCAGCCAGTAAGGAGTTCAAGAGAGAAAGATTCTATTGGCTAAAGGGTTAAAAGAGAGAACAGTCTCAGTAGGTGACAGAAAGTGGAAAGAGGAGGGGCTGTGGGGAAGCCAACAGCTGGGAGAAGGAACCAGAGGAGAGGATAAAGGGGAAGTTCCTCACCTGGTCTGAGGCAGTCTGAGGCACTTGGCAGGGCCTGTCTGAGATGCAGTCTGAGGCATGGTTTGAGGAACATCTACTGAGTGATCTTCTCAAAGGTTCAAAATAGAAATGAAAATCCTCCAGGGAGGATTCCTTTATCCTGGGTTTCATCACCAGATATAAGGGAGATGCAGAGAGTAGAAAAACCATCTGGGCTTGTCTAAGGCAAATAAATGAAGCTGCTTTATTTAGCTTAGGTAAACAGGAGCACTGTTTCTGAGCAGAACCAGCATAGAATGGGGGGAGAGGATAGACTTAAGAAGAGAAATGATTGCTAGGTGGTTGCCAGGCATTGGTCACAAGATTCATTGCATCAAGGAGTCTGGGGGCAAACAGGGCAGTCTGTGCTCCTTGGACCTGTGGCAGTGCAGATCTTTCTTGGAACCGAGGGCTGGGACATCTTTTCTTGTCA